GCTTACGTTTTACGTCCTTACGGAATTTTATGTGTGAAGGCCTTAACCTGCGTATCACCAATCATAGGGTCATTCTGATAGAACCGTTTCAATAATTCCGTTGAAATAGTTCAGTGATTGGTGATACGCAGGTTACGCTACGCAAGTTACGCTCCATGTGAATCCAGCCTTACTTTCTCTCCATATGTAACTGTTTGATAACTATATAGTAACTAATTGCCATCTCCTTTAAGACATATAAAAGATAGACTGCTTATGAGGCAGTGGAACCCTAGGTGGGGGCATCCTCCTGAGGGAAAAAGGACAACATGAATTTATTTGGGTATCTGTCTTCCTCTAGTGGACGTGATCTGAAGGCGATCACGTGATCATGCCCACGTGATCACGTACACTAGAAGAAGATAGAGACCCAAATAAATTGGTGTTGTCCTTTTCCCTCAGGAGGACATCCCCCACTACCTCATAAGCAGTCTATCTTTTATATGTCCTATGGCCCAAACTGACCAAATTGACCAATCAGAAATTTTCCCTAACCTTCAAACTGTAAGTTGGCGTCACTGCTCTCGCCCTCTTCCGCACGCTTGGCAGTTGCTGGATGTGCTGCGCACGCGGAAAAAGTGAGGTTAGGTTAGGTTAAGGTGTGCGACAGGAGCCAACTGGCGAGCGTGTAGGTCACGGACGTAGAGGACGAGCGTGCCACGGAGAATCATCACGCGCGAACGATGTCGAGCAGGGCGAAAAACAGGAGCAAGAACGGCGACGCGATCGAGAACGGCGCGGCCGATGATGTCGCGACGAAGCTCGCGGACGTCGAGCTCGACGCCGAGGAGACGCCGAGCAAGAAGCTCACGCACAAGGAGAAGAAGAAGCTGAAGAAGCAGCAGGAGTACGAGCGGACGATGGAAATGCTGACGCGGGCGGGCGGGCAGGGCCACAGCGAGCTCGAGTCCAACTTCACCATCTCGCAGAGCGAGACGCAGCAGCGCGGCAACCAACAGCTGGACAACGCAGTCGACATCAAGGTGGACAACTTCAGCATCGCGGCCAAGGGCAAGGAGCTCTTCACCAACGCCAGCTTGATCATAGCGCAGGGCAGGCGTTACGGCCTCGTGGGGCCGAACGGGTACGCTCTCGTCTCGCCTGCGTCTAGCGGGAAGTCAAGCTGTAGCTGTAAAACGCTTTACGAATAGCAATTAGGTCTTGCGGTATCTCTTCATATTCAAATGTCAACAATTTAACGAGATTTTCACCTTGTAATTTTACCTCGACGTTCGATTCGCCGATAAATTCGTCGAAAAGTATACGTTTTCGCCAGAGTCTGGAAAGTATGTTCAGTGTACGATTTGCGTGTACAGAAATAGTGTGTGATCCTTAAATGTTTCATATGAATTGTTATGGTATCGATGAATTTGTATAATATTATAGAATTATGTATTTTATAAAGGCAATGTTTCCTGCGAACGGTATGTCAATTTTGATATTTGTTTCTTTTATTACAGTCACGGCAAAACTACCCTGCTCCGTCACATAGCCAAGAGAGCCTTTAATATTCCGCCTACGATAGACGTTCTCTATTGTGAACAAGAAGTTATAGCTGATGATACTCCGGCTGTAGAAGTGGTGCTCAATGCTGACGTCAAGTGCAAGGATCTTCAAACGGAATGCAAGAAATTGGAGGAGTTGACAGAGCAAGGGGATACCACGGTGCAGAACCGATTGCAAGAGGCAAGTCATTGTTTTTGTGAACTTTGAACTTATAGAAAGTAATTGATAAATTAAAGGAAAGGATAATCTGTGATTTGCTTAGTAAATTTGCTCAATTTCTCCTACATTTTTTATTTGTTTTCTTTTCGAAATGTCCATTAAAAAAATTGCTTGTTAATTACAGGTGTACGAAGAATTGAAGGCCATCGGAGCTGATTCGGCGGAGCCGCGAGCCAGGCGGATCCTCGCCGGTCTGGGATTCAATCGTGCGATGCAAAATCGCGCGACGAAAAACTTCTCTGGCGGTTGGCGAATGCGCGTTTCGCTGGCGAGAGCGCTCTTCTTGGAACCCACGTTACTGCTGTTGGACGAGCCTACAAATCACTTGGACTTGAATGCGGTAATCTGGCTGGATAACTACTTGCAGGGCTGGAAGAAGACTCTGCTGGTTGTGTCGCACGACCAGAGTTTCTTGGACAATGTGTGCACGGACGTGATACATCTGGATCAGCAGAAACTGTGGTATTACAAGGGAAATTACAGTATGTTCAAGAAGATGTATGTGCAGAAGAGAAAGGAGATGGTGAAGGCGTATGAGAAGCAGGAAAAGCGCCTGAAGGACCTCAAAGCGGCCGGGCAGAGTAAGAAGCAGGCCGAGAAGAAACAAAAGGAGGCGCTTACGAGGAAGCAAGAGAAAAATCGGACGAAGATGCAGAAGCAGGAGGAGGGAACCGGGCCCACGGAACTTCTGCAAAAACCGAGGGAATATATCGTGAAATTCACCTTTCCGGATCCACCGCCGTTGCAACCTCCGATTCTTGGTCTTCAAAGTATGCGCTTCTTTTATGTGCCCAATTATCCATCGAATTGCGCGTGTAATAATTCGGGAAAGAAATATCGTTAGTCTATACGAAACAATGTAACGAAAAACTACAAATTGAATCTTCGCTTAATTTTTCGCAGATGTAACGTTCGGGTACGAAGGACAGAAACCATTGTTCATCGACGCGGACTTTGGTATAGACTTGAGTTCCCGAGTGGCAATATTGGGCCCCAACGGCGTCGGTAAATCTACCTTCCTGAAATTACTAATGAGCGATTTAACGTCTCACAAGGGAGAAATCACAAAGAATCACCGACTGGTGAGTGCAAGATTGCTGTGTGTTGAACAACAAGGGCTTTCTTCAAACTCGATTGTTCAGTCTGCCAAATAATTAAAATAGGATTTGTAGGGACGTTTACATTTATGGAACATTTTCCAGTCAAAATTTTCTTGTGTCGTGTATGAGAATAACAGGATTGAGAATGGAAAGGTCTCTCGTTTAACAACTGCTCTACTGCTGCAGCACCTTATTTTAATCTTTAACTATCCATGTCATACGTGACCTATTATTCCAAGTTAATTTGCATTTTACAGAGGATAGGAAGGTTCGACCAGCATTCTGGCGAGCACTTGACTGCCGAAGAGACTCCGTCGGAATATCTGATGCGACTGTTCGATCTTCCGTATGAAAAGGCGCGCAAACAGCTGGGCACTTTCGGCCTCAGCTCTCATGCTCACACCATCAAAATGAAGGACCTGTCGGGCGGTCAAAAGGCGCGCGTCGCGCTGGCCGAGCTCTGTTTAAACGCGCCGGACGTGCTGATTCTGGACGAGCCGACCAACAATCTCGACATAGAGTCCATCGACGCGCTGGCGGATGCCATCAACGAGTATAAAGGTGGTGTTATCATAGTTTCGCACGACGAACGGCTGATTCGAGACACGGAATGCTGCCTCTACGTGATCGAGAACCAGCAGATCAATGCGATCGACGGCGACTTTGACGACTACAGAAAAGAATTGCTCGAGAGCCTGGGAGAGGTCATCAACAATCCCAGCATAGCCGCGAATGCTGCCGTTCTACAATAATCGTCGACCAATTAGCGTAATTAACATCTTGGTGGCCTGTAATAATGTAAAAGCGATCGTCGGATTGCGATCAAACGCCTTCGTACGAATGCCCGTTTGTCCTATAAACGTCGGATTCGGATTTTGTATTATATCGTGCGATCGAGTGTAAAGAATAAATTGTTAACAACAAGGGGTTTGAGTCAATCTTGAAAAATCAGTCCGAGATTCACTTTTCTGCAATCTATTGGTTCTTTGTTAATTTTCAAGGTGTAAGAGTGCAAGTTCTCCGATAACTCGTTGCTTGCGGTGTAAAATTTTCTCGAATAACCAGAATTCAGATGTTTTACATTTTTTACACCGCTCTTTCTAACATTTAATTACATATCTATCTTACAAAAAGTAACGATACTGCAAATGACTGCGAAGGATTGAGATTAGATTGAAATTTGACCAATTAGAGTAAAGTTTACTAAACTTGAGATTAGTAAACTTTACTGCGATTGGTCAAATTTCAATCTAATCCCAATCTCAATCCGTAGTCTGATACGGGCTTAAAGCGCTCAAAATCGGTTTACATGATAAAAGTTTTTTTGTTCCCCCGACTGTACTTTCTTTCCCCTTCTCCTTTTCTCTCCAACGCTGGAGTTCTCACGTCGAGTGCAAACCGTGTGGTGTAGTGCAGCCACGGAGTGCAGGCCCGAACTTTGTGTTGCCGAACGTGTTCATATCTTTTCGCTGCAATAATCCCGATAGAGATTCCGAAAGATTAGAATAGCTGGTTAGTTCTGCGATCTCTTGCAGCTCGTTGAGAAGTGATCTCCGGACATCTAACCTAACTTGGTCCGTCGCGTCCCGGTGTCGTGGAAAACTTGTGATATTGTGACAAAACTCAGCCACGCTCCAACGTCAACAATGGCAGCGAAGGCGGACGAGGTGAATATACATGTATCGTTATTGTCAATTTTCAGCTGCACCTTCCTACTTTACGCATGCAAGATCTGATTACATTTTGCAAACTACAATTGCGAGCTGACTTGATGATGTAACGATGCCGAATTGCTCGGTTCTCGATGTATAATTGCAGAGATTCTTCGAATTAATTCGTGCCCGTAATACAGGCGCAAAAAATGTCCCTAAAAAATTTGCCATCAGAAGTCGAAATTTTGAAGCGCGAGAAAGAACCTGGGAGATTTTCGCAAATTGATTTAATTGACCATTTGCATTTCTCTGCTGGACGAAGTGTTTCAATTCCAACATCTTTTCCCACAGATGAAATTGGATATCGACGAGCTCAACGGCTTACTCCAGCAGGCCAAGAGGCAGCGGACCAAAGATACACTGATGCTGGAAGTCAGGAGGCTGCAGACAGAAATGGCGAAGTTACTGGAGCAGAAAGATACGTCCGTCAAGGTGACGTCTCCCACGCTCAGCGCCGCCCAGAAGTGTTACGAGGTGAAATTGAACAACTACGGATGGGACCAGACGAGCACGACGATGAAGATCTACATAACGCTGAACAACGTTCACCGGCTGCCCAAGGAAGCCGTCGTCTGTAGCTTCACGGAGAAGTCGCTGGATCTGCGCGTGCTCGGCCTGGATAACAAAAACTACCACCTGCCGATTACCAATCTGTGCGCGGAGATCGACACCGAGAAGAGCAACTTTAAAGTGAAGACCGACATGATCGTCGTGTCGCTCGCAAAGCAGGTAGCCAGAGACTGGTCGCACGTCACGCTGGTGGAGAAGAGAATCAAGGACGCGAAGGCGCCGTCCATGCCCGAGCTGAGCGAGGAGAGCGACCCCAGCACCAGCCTGATGAATCTCATGAAGAAGATGTATCAGGATGGCGACGACGAGATGAAGAAGACAATAGTGAAGGCGTGGACCGAGAACCAGGAGAAACAGAAAAACGGCTCGATTTTAGACTTGTAATCTCTGTACCGACTTAGATCTAACCTAGATACGTTCAGTTTCTTTTTTAATATAAGAAAAGTGTAATATACATTTTACAGTAACGCTCAGTTAAGACGAGAATGTAGAAAGTGCGCATTTATCTCTTCTTTGCTGTAAAGAGAATAAATAAGCAGCATTGGTGTAACCAGGAATATAGAGGTAAAGATAAAGAAAAAAAGTTTTCTGTTCTAATCTCATTGTAAAGTTAACAAAAATAGTATACATTGAATACAAATTTTGATACTTTTGGACAAAACAACAGGCCAATATTACGAGCAATAAAAGGTGAAAGTCAAATGTATTAAAATATTAAATGTATATTTTAAGCGAACGTTTCGGCGTCACAGCGCCTTCATCAGCGCAAAAATTAATCAAATCAATTCGATTCAGCTAATTACATTAATAAAACCATGGTCAACGATGTAATTAGCTGAATCGAATTGATTTGATTAATTTTTGCGCTGATGAAGGCGCTGTGACGCCGAAACGTTCGCTTAAATAATATTTGCCTGTTGGTTTGTCCATTTGTTTTCACAAGAAACGAGCTTTCCTTATCATTATTAATTTGATACTTTTGTTCGATAAACATTTTATTTATGGATGTACAATTAAAAAAATTATGAGTAAACAGGGATGTCGTGCTTGATCAAACTGATTCGTACCCAGGGTATGGCAGTAACGCGTTATAGTAACGCCGTTACCCTTACGATTTCCTATTTTTGGTAACTGGTAACGACGTTACTTTTTTTTGTAACGGTAACGTAGTTACTATTTTTAGTAACTGTAACGAATTTAACAGTTACTGTTATCGTTACTTTTTATAGTTTGAACCTAGTTATAAAATATATTTTCTTACATTTAGGCGGGGAAACGCTATTAGCGCTGAAAGCATCAGTCTGTCTTCGTCGCTCACTATATGTCAAACAAAAATAGAAGGTACTTTTAGCGCTGAAAGCGCACTCCCTGAACGCACCTAATCTTCAGGCATCGATCGATATTCATAATCTATTATTATCATGGGTTGTTATATTTAAGGTAAGTTTAAAGTTATTCCGCGAAAAATTTGAATGAAAAATTGAGAGCACAGTATTAAAACTTTTATTCACATTTTGAGCGTTTAGAAAAAGTTGAAGAAAAAGTTTATCTTTTTAAGTTTTTCATGGTTCTACAACTTTAAAATAAAAAATTGTTTTATTAATATCTGTTAGTAAAAAAACTATTGCAAAAGTAGACGTTTCAGTTTGATCTCGTTTCAGAATTAACAAAGTAACGAATCGTTATTTTTTAAGTAAACTGTAACGATAACGAGTTACTTTTGAAAATCAGATAACTATAACGGTAACGAGTTACATTTTTTACTCGGTAACGAGCGTAACGAGTAAGAATAACTAGTGTAACTTGTTGATATTGGAAAAAATTACATGCGTACAGCTGACATTTGCATTTTCGATAGATTATTACACGTCCGTTGTGCGTCAGCGGAGGAATCAATAAAACGACATGCCTCGGTTAACTAAAATCAGGTATCTTTATTATCTGCTCTTGCACTTTGCAAACCATCTTTTAATTTACATCGTGATTATTTGTAATCGATAGAATATACAAAACGTCTGTGACGAGCCCGATCAGCTGTGGACCGCGCTTCGCAGACAAATAAAGGGTTTGCGTGACCTAGATGCAACAGTTCGTTAAATCCTGCCTGCGATGTCGTTTAACATTCATTAAGTGTTCAATCGAATACCATGATCAATTGATTTATGCTAATATTACATCATGACAAATGCACAGCCCGAGTACAAAACTCTTTGGAATAATAAGCTACGCTTGTTTTACGCGGCGTTCTCTCGTAAAACAATCAATCAATACGCTTGCAGTTAAAAAAAGAACTCAAATCTAAGTTCCGCGTCTACCAGGGTAAAATGGAATGATACGTTATCTATGAAACTATCGCGTGACTGCTGCTTCTTTGCAAATTGGCACTGAGATGATAAATCGTTAGTGAACGACGTTCTCGTTAAATAACGTCGTTAAGACATTTTGAAGTGACTTTCAAGTGAACCTCAGATATTCCTTATACATATATCTGCAATCAATCATTTACATAATTATCGATACATGCCGATAAATCGACAATGAAACTTATGCTATTCTCGAGAAGGATAGACGTCGACATAATATCTGTAGATTTGAAAAAGAAAAGTTTTTTTCAGGTTTTTCTAAATTGCAAAAATTTTTACTCCAAATTGTCTATTTATTTATGCACGAAACATTATTCGATTACGCTAGAAATCGTATATTAAAACGCAGCGTCAACGGCGTACGATTGAAAATTGTGCGTTTTCTTTTTTATCAATCAGGAAGATAACACTAACGCGATCGATTCGTTCAAAAGTGTTCCGTTCACTTGATTGTGAACTACGATCGATTAATCTCGAAATTCCAAATAGCAATTCTTCGTTAATTACGTCTCTTTGTCGGATGTCGATGTCGCGATGCTTTCGAGTATTAGTACGTTATCGAAACGTCTTTTCGACTAAGAAAGATTTAACAAACAAGATTATTCGTAACGGCTACACACCTCAATTCATTTTGGTCATGATATAAAAATATTCCCCCTGCAGCTTAATCATCATGACGTACATCTCATATAATAATACAGTAATATATAACAGCCGCAACAAGGAGAGTATACGCTGAGTCTTACACAGTCTAAAAACGACACTTAAAAGGGTACACGTTTTGTTATACGAGCCGTTCACATTCAATTCGTGTTACGCATTTAAAAGTAGTCAGCTGCGCGCACGATCACGTTAACGTAAATCGCGTGGCACAAACCAAATTTGACAAACAAGATTAAAAATTTTCCGAATAGATTAAAATACATATAACGTAGCACACTGTCGTAACATAAATTTTCAAATTTCACCAATTTTCGTACATGGATCGCTCGTGCGTGAACGTTTAGAAATCGCGCTGTAAGAAATATTCGACTGATCAGGTAATCGAAGTCTCGAGATATTTATCTGCATTTGTATAATACACTTAGGCACAAATTTTCTACTTGAATATACCCATTTAAAAATTACAGGAAGCTGTTGTGAAAGTCAATGCGATGTACTACTCCCATCTTAACGGCTAAACAAAAAACAAAACGGCTCTCGTTCGGATTATGCTACGAGTATCGTGTGATCGTTGCAGCTTACAAGAAAATTGATATTTGACGCAGAGCATAAACATAAACGCTGTCATACAGTGCGGAAGTCGCGCAAACGATCATGTTGATCGTCGCATACATGATAGTTAGTGTTTGCGACTATGAGCAAGCGTTTATGATTTTGCAACCAACGCATACGTTGCTTTTTCTTTTTTACGATATCGAAAGACGAGACACATGCCAGTGAATACATTTGACAGTACATATTCTGACTCTTAGCAATGAGTTTCTCGTGGAAGAAAAATATAAGCACAGTTTGCGTAATGCTTTTCTTTGCCATCAACTAGATTTTCTTTGTCGGTTGCCGCCGCTGTTAGTTATATTCAAATATGACGAGCCGTTAGAAAAGCATCACGCAAATTACGCTAAACTGAACACCGTTTGGAAAATAAGGTAAAAGATGTTGCCTTAATTGTAGGATACTCGCATCTTACCTACGTTACGAGTTTTAGAGAACAGAGACGCACCATGCGATAGTACGTATCTATTTGAAGGTGCAACATATCATTTGAGGAATGCCCAAGGATTAAACTTTAATGTCGAAAAGATTACCACGCGCCGATCACGACTATATTATCGCGATATCGCATTCATAACTAATCGTAGATGTAAACATATGTACACTGCAGCACAAAGTGACTATAATGTGCTTCAGATTTAATGCATTATCTTCCGGTTAAAATATTGTTTTTCTTATTATCTCGATTATGAACAATTATCTCGATTAACATTGACGAGTCAATCAACGACCGAAGTGAAATTTCACGATGTCCGTTCGAAAAATCATTTTGAAAGAAATGTTTTCGAAGTTTTCTTGAAATATTTAAAATTAAAGTGCACTTCTCCTATAATTATATGTACCTTAATCTCTTTATACAGACAATCATATGGAAATCAGTGGAAGCATAAAACAGACGAGTGGGAATGTACAAGCGTATCTCATACATAGCAAAATATACCTAATGGAATTTAGTACAAACCGTTAAATATAAACGTTAACAATGTTTCCACAATTTATGCAAAAATGCATTCTAACGAATCATATTTACAATCCGTAACTCTATGAAAAATCATGATGTACATATCGAAAGTCCTTTTTTTCCCTTCGTTCTCTTCGCGGTAAAGAGTTTACTGCATATTTCACGCATACAGTCCCTTCAAATTACGTCTAATTAATTAAGAGATTTATAATTCTTCAGCGACGCATACAATCCTTCCGATTGTACATCTATTTTATCACACGCACTTTTCTTTCGTTCCGTTTGAAATTGCATATTTCCAAACGAAAACGTTCGTTCTATGCGGCAAACTAAATCGTCCATAAACTTCGCGCGTCGCAAACGATGTATTTGTACATCAATAAAAATTACTGGACAACTTAATCGCGAATACTGAAGAGCCGTTTACATTCTCGCGCGATTTACGCAATAATGAATAAAAATATATTAAGAAGAAGAATACAGACGGGTATTGTACGCTATACTCCACTTTCTCTAAGTTGGAGAGGTATTAAAATACAAACTAAGATATTACATCATAATACCAATAACACAGTAAGAGGACGTTAGCTAATTGGACGCCTTAGTCTTTGGTTCCCGCGTGTAGGCTTATTCGCTAATACTCTCGCGAAGAATCTTGTAAACTTACTCGCTCGTTTTCGTAAGACGAGCTCGTTCGTTACAGTCCAATGACGGTCATTCGATGTACGTCTTACCGGACAGGAAGGGACAGCTGGATCTCGCGACTCGTCGCGTGGAACACCTCGCTCATGGCGCTTCGTGTTTTTTCCATTAATCCCTCCACGTCGTCCGTACCGAGTCCCTCGGTCGAGATGGGCGGCAATGTCGTCACAAGAACGCGTCCTTTAATTAAGGTCGATTTTAACAATTAAAGAAATTATTTTTGCAGGTTGCTCGTTCTGGAGAAGCAATTCTACTATTCGATAAATCATCGTTAAATTCTAATTTGTTACACGATTCATCATTCAAAATGTTAGTGAATTTCCTTATTGAAATCTCATGCAAAATTAACGTCGCCGACCTATAAATTGGTTTCTTCAAGATTCAAAATTTCTAAGACTTCTCTTCCCTAGTAGCACAATATATTGGCGCACAATGTATTGGGAAATAATGTAAATCTAGTATTCCCAACATTCGTTCAATATTGTTCTCTTATTTAGCCAATATGGCTATTTAGCAATATTGGTTTAATATTGTATTAATATTAGACCAATATTTGGATTGCATTGTTAAATATTGGCCAATGCACTTCCAATATAAATCTAATATTATATAATTATTATCGTGCAATGTTTACATTTATTCCATGGCCAATATTGACTTTACGTTGGACAATATCGGCCAATGCATTTCTAATACAACCAACATTGGACCAATGTTTAGCCAATGCAGTGTGCCACTAGGGTTTTACCTCTAATTAATTTGCGAACTCTCCCGTATGTTTTTGTACCCTCGCAGTTTACTCACCGGCATCAAATCTTTTCTCTTCCGCGGACAAGAAATAATAGGAGGAGAATACAACTGGTAGTATGGGCAGCTGCGACCTGATCGCGACGTGGAAGGCACCCTTCTTAAACGGATGTATCTCGCCGGTGTTGTGCCTGGTGCCCTCGGGGAATATCCACAGCTTGATCTACAAAAGCCGTCGCGATGAGAAACACGGTGGAGGAGCGAATAGAGTGGCCGACGCGATTCACGGCGCGACCCACCCTTTACCTTCTTATCCGTGATCTCCTTCGTGGCGGTGTTGAGGGCGGATCGCGCTTTCTCGGAGTTCATTCTGTCGATGAAGATCAGGCCGCACAGCCACGCGGCCAGGCCGACCGGCCACGCGTAGAAGATCTCCTTCTTGGCGACGACGGTGCACTTGTCCATCACCGGCCAAATGTCGAACATGCCCAATATGTCCAGCGAACTCTGGTGATTCGCCACAATTATACAAGCCCTGTTCTTCTCCAAGTGCTCCCTTCCTCGCAGCTCCCATCGCAGACCTAACAGAGTGCTAATGTGATGGCATAGCGACGACGCCAGCCTGCGAGAAGAGAAAAACACATCTTTCCCTGCACAACTTAATGAACGATAACGTCAGTGTTTTCTCGATCGTACCTGGCATTTTTAACGATACAGAAAATTTATTGCGAAAAGTATTACCTCGGCCAGGGTTTGAACGCGGACCTCCCTACACTCTAGGCAGACGCCTCGCCGATTCGACCACCGAGGCATTTTCTGTATTATCAAAATTGCCAGGTACGGTCAAGAAAACACCGACGTTGTTAATTATCGCTGAAGAATTCTTATTAGTTAATGAAAAACCTTTATCTTGGGGACTTTGGGGAGACGCAGGAAAGATTTAGGCGGGAGAATCGCTCTAATTCTCGTTCGAGTTTCTACGCGTGCTCTTTAAAAGAGATATTAATAAACTTTCTTATGTACAATTTTATATGAAACGAATTATCTCCAGACAAAAGATATCTTTTCGATTTTATCTCTCTCTTTCTCGCGCACGTGTATTAGAAGATAAGATAAGTACGTTTGATTTTACGAGCGTATAAACGTACGGTCTCACGTGCTCGAGTATTAAAAATCACGCGAACTTGTGCAAATAAAACACCACTTTCTACAGATAATCCCTTGGCGTTGATGCTGACGGCATTGTTGCGGCTCGTATTTTTAAAACATAAATATGTTCTCACGGAAGAATCACATCTGCATACCAAAGAATCTTACTAATGTATACATAAATGATCCACGCGATTAATATAAGTTAATATATGAATGAGTTGACGCAGGTGAGATCATAAACGTAATCAAAGTTCGGGCAAAGATTAAATATCTTTTAAAGACTTAGAGCGATTATCTCAAATATGAATTATGGATTTGCAATACTGCGGCACGTGTCTCTCTCCTCTCTCTCTAAATTTATTTCGAAGACGCGAGTCTATGCGATAAAGCACTTATCAAGAAACCTTGAATCGCGTATTGAGCTCTTCAGAATTCTTGAGATGTTAATAAAACATAGAGCATCTCTAGACCTTCGTACTATGTGCCACGTAATCTTTCTCTGGCGGGAGCGTTGATCAGTGTACGCACCGAGAGAGACGATTCGGGGAACGAGTGTTTATAGTTTTACATATAATAAGAGAAATGAACAGCGTTAGGATTTATTCCGGGATTTCGCGTAGACACAGTTGAACCATGCTCTGTTTGTCCGCCTGTTTTTATTTTAAGGGGGCATATACACCTACGAGGGTAAAAAAAATTTTTGGATTTTTACATATTCATAAAGTTTAATGTTTCGAGAATGTCTGGTGCAAATTTCAAGTCATAATTTCGAAAAATGACGAAGTTACAGCCCTGACAGTACAATGGCTTGATATCTATTTTTAGGCAACTTTTTTTTAACGTCTTTCCTAAATTTCCCAGATGTATGTATGTACCATATGTATGTATGTATGTATGTATGTTTCCCAGAAAAAAATTCCAGAAAATGAACGTTTTTTGGCCTTCTAGGTGTATATGCCCCCTTAAGCGGACGTGGAAAGTAAAGGAAAGTCCTCCATTATGCGGTAGACTTTGAATACGAGACAGCGGGTTTTCAACATCAAAATTTAATCTCAAATCTTTATTCACAACGTTTACCCGATCTAACGTGAATTTTCCACTGAACAGCTTTCACTCCAAGAGCAACAAATTAACGATGAAACCGACAGACGACGCCTATCAATAGCAAAAACCCTGCTATCTCATATTAGAAGCATATCTCGTAATAGGAGACTTTCCTCTGTGTGAAACGGCTTGACGGAAATTTCGGGAAGAAATAATCGAGGGGTAAAGCGCTGACGAAAATCGTGTACACCAATGCCCACTAATGCCCGGTGAGCATTACTTTATCTTATTATCTCATTATATCTCATTAAATTTTATAATGCCCCATTAAGGGCCTTAAAAATGCCTAGTAATGCCCAGTAATGCCGCAAATCTGTACACCACAATGCCCTCCGCAGTCTACCCCTCGGAAATAATTTTAACAAACCTAATGTTAAACTAACTAAAAGTAGACCTATCGATTCTTACGCAATTCAGTTAAGGAACTGTACACGAAACACTACAAATCTTTAACAATTGACGCTTCAAATGTCAACAAATCGAAGAATTAAAAAAAACTTCCCTCCCTCCTAATCAACAAATATTAACGCTGGCGGCGCATGTAATTTTAGCGCGCTTTAAAAGAATTAAATATCAGGATACAAAAATATTCCGTGGACATCCGAAATTATTGTATTCCGCTTCTCTTCATCGATAATCGGCGCTGTTTACATATGCAAAGTCCAATAGATTCATCTGGCAGCGTCCAAATAGACTCAGCGCTAACACCCAACAGTTACAAAGTGGTTCCCCAAATGTTCCACGCCCCGACGCATTGCCAGCAAAAGTATATTCAATGTCAACGAGCTAAATATAGCGGTCGTTACTATCGCGAGTGTCCCGTCGATCTCCGACTCCCGGGCATCCCTCGACAATTAAGTTTCACGCGTCCGAAAGACTTTTTCTCGCCGCCGCGGCCGTCCCTGCGCCGTGGAGGCCGAGGCGACGCGACGCTCATCATTCGATTTGCGGCGGCAGAGCTACCGCCCGCCATCGTTATGGGAAGCGACTCATTTTCTCCCATACGACGCGACAAGTTTAAATCCTCCCCTCCCCTCCCCGCCCTGCTCCCCGCGGCCCCAGGAATTGTCGCGGCTCGTCACGGCGTTCGCGGCAACAACCACAAACACCGCCACCACCGCCGCCAGAGTAGCAGCAGCACCACCGCCACCACCACCACCACCACCACCGCCACCATCATCATCGCGCCACCCACTGAACGAGCGCCGGTCAATAAATTCCCGTGGCCGTCCCGGCGGTGCCGCCTCGACGCCTGTCAAGCTCTCTGGAGAAGCAAAACGCGCTCGTGGAAGGCGACGGGGAGAAGAGCACCGGAGCGGAGACGGAAACGGAAACGGGGAGCGTACGCGCGTCGGCGACGTAGCAATATCGATCGGTCCGCGGGCGACGGGGGCTACTAACAGGAAATTCTTGACGTTGCCGGGCCGCAGCGAGATGACGGGCATGAGCAGGGCCGCGTTCACCATCACGACGCCGTAGTAGATGAGGAATTTGAAGTAGTAGCGGAAGGTGCGGCTGGTCTCGTACAGGAACGGCAGCACGAGGAGGAAGCCGACGAGGATCACCTCGAAGCACGACGGGGCCATCTTCCCCGAGAATTCGACACATACACACGCTGCGCGAGCGCGCGCGCGCGCCAACACCTTCCGCTCCCTCTTTTGCCTGCCTTTTTTCCCAACGCGCCCCGCGAGCGATTACGCTCACGCGAGACTCGTCGTTGCGGGCCGCGGACGGGCTCGCCCGAGACTCGGCGGGGCTTCCGACGACGCTACGCCACCGGACACGGGGTCTCTCCCTCGGTAGAGCTACCGCGCGACGTAACACGCTGCTGCGCAAGCCGAGCACTGCCGTGTCCGGACTTCGGCGGCGGCGGCGGCGGCGGCGGCCGCGCCGTTTGCAAAAGGGGGAGAGAGAGACCCTCGGCGTTCTACCCCCTACTAACTCGCGGGAGATCCCCGGCCTTCGCTTGGCGCGCGCCGCGGCCTCGCTTCGGCTCCGCACGGGTAGGCACGGCCGATACGAGGCCGTCAATTTTCGTCGTCGACGCACGGTTATCGTTGCGCGTTCGAGCGAACGTTTGTTAAGCATTCAATTTTGTCACACCAGTCATTCCGCTTGTTTTAAATAAAGGCTGGTCTACAATACATGGAGTAAGCTGGAGTAAGGAGTAGGAGTAAGGAAATAAATCCATTTTATTTCTTACTCCTACTCCTTACTCCAGCTTACTCCAGCTTACTCCATGTATTGTAGACCAGCCTTCACAATACAGACGCCTTGAACCGGTCGGGCCTAGAGCTTGTTATAATTGACGACTGTATCCTTGCGTACACGTCGTTTTTCAACGCGGCGAACTGCGCACCGATAACTTATCTATTTAATTATTTGTGCAATTGTGTCCTAAACATCGCATTAAACACAAGGCGCACGTCACTTGCCCCGAGCATAATTAAGTCGCGCTTCTCCGAGGGAAAGTGCGACAGAGAGTTTGGCGAACGACGAAAATGTACAGTTAGCTTCATGGTTTCAATGGCAAGTTACTTTTCGAGATAGAAGAGAATTGCTGTGTAAGAGATATTGAAAGCATATAATGGTTCATTTTGTGCCATTGAAAACAAACCCAAGGAGAAATGAAAAGTCAAGACGACGTGAATTTCATGTCATATTGACCATATTATTGACCATAATATAAATGACATCAAATTGACATCATCTCGTTTTTCATTGCCAGTAAGAGACGTGGTTAAAGTCTATTCTCTTTCTACCTTGTATACATTTTGTTATAACGTTCTTCTCTCTTTTTCAATACAATTTAATTGCATAATTATCACTTTAATTATATTAATTAATTAGCAACATTTATTTACTTAATTAATCGTAGCCAAACATGTAAAAATAATGGTCGTTTAATTGTAAAAACGACATTCCGATTGCACTTAACGATAAGGCGATTGTTCGTTGTACAAATATTTTTCGGACGATCACATGGTGATCAATCGTGCTCATAGATGTACGTAAAACGACCACGAAACTTCTTATCTTGTCTCGTGAAAATAGATCTCGCATTTGTTTTCAATAAATACCACTGTAGTTTAGATTAGATCATTCGAAAGGAGCGCACAAACGTTATCTGGCCGTGATGTCTGGCTACGATTAATCAATCAGATATCTTAATAATAATTCTATAACGTAAAATATCACGTGAATAGATACTCTACAATTTCGTTAGGATTGTAATAGTAAATCTACACGGTCGAAAAAAAAGAGTTTAAGATGATCTAATTTTAGTAACTTCTCCATTTTCTTTCGGTTTCCTATAACTTCAACCGTTCGTTTTCGTTTCATTCCGTTTAGCAACTTCACAATTTCGAAGAAGAACCTATTTTTTATATCGTTGCGAACTGGGTTATCGGAAATTTCGAATTGATGCCTTACACTAAACATTGCACGTATTGCGAAAATTGCGAAAATATAAATGTCATAGTTATAATAAATATATAAGTAAAAACCTAATATGTGCACAAACTTAGAAGTACAAACATATATATTTGTTTGGAAAAATATTTTGTCGATTGTTATACACACGTGCATTTCTCTCATTACGACAATTCCTTAATTTCTTTTAAGTGGGAGACATTACTACTATAATACATTTAGACAAATGCAACTCGAACGAAATCCGATAGTGATAATGAAGTCGATAAAGATGATACTATAAACGAGAAATGACAACTTGAGGGGAGGCAGTTTCCTCTGATTAAAGTCACAGACGGGAGTGCTTAAGATACAATGTGAACACTCAACTCAAGTAGCATCTATGAGTATTTTTCTGGAGTCCAAATATTCTTAATTTTAGAATATTTCAATCGAATATTCTATAAATATACATAGATTATTACAATTAGAAATCATATGTCCACAATAAAGAACCTAAACAACACGTGTGTCTAAAAGGCATCTCTAAGGCGTCTTTAAGTCATGTTTTGTATATGTATATCTAAGAGGCGACCTAAAGACGTCTTAAAGATGCTTTTTAGGCATGCGTGCTGTATGGGAAGAACGTTTTTAGAATATTCGTCGAGAAAGTCTTTGGAATATTCGTTCAGAATAATTTTTGACTATTAATCGAGTTTATGTATTGCGCATTGTTTATTGCGTAATACATTTATCTTATGCAAATGGCAACGAAACCTGTGATCATACCATACATAACCGACACGCTATATTCGATAAATTATTCTGTTCACATTTGAAAGAGATTTATAGTAGTGCCAGTCGAATATTCTACGAACATAAGATAAATATATAAGAATGATTAAGCAAAGCTTCTTCTATGAGGAAGCAATTTTAATTCACTTGATACAAATGGAAGATAAAAGAAGACTCTTTAAAGACACCTTGAAGTATGTGAAATTAAAGAGATTGAGAAAAGCTTATTGTTCCGTCACGAAGACTAATTAAAAAGAACAAACAGTTTCATATTTTACATCTAAATCAGGAAAATAATGATTTTATAATTATTATTTTCTCTTTCTATTCTTTCTATATTTGTACATGTATTCTTTAATTTTTTATAGGAAGCAGTTAATTGTTTTTGAAAATAATGGTATTCTGAGTTATA